TGAGGAGTTCTTGCAGCTGAAGTTTGGTGATGGATTCCATTTTCTTTACAGTACTGAATTACTATAGAGTTGAGGAATTCAGTACCTCTATCTGACCGGATCTTCTGGATTGAGAGACTTTTCTCATTTTGAATTAGTTTCATCAGTTCTGGAAGTTTCTTCTCTGTTTCATTCTTTTTCTTTAGGAATATGGTCCAAGTGTATCTAGAATAATCATCAATTATCACCAGGGTGTATCTTCTACCACTTAAACTTGTTGGTTCAACTGGTCCAAACAAGTCAAGGTGTAGTAGGCTTAAGGGCCTAGTTGATGATTCCAGTTCCTTTGATTTGAATGATACCTTGGTTTGTTTCCCTTTTTGGCAAGCATCACAGAGATGGTCCTTCTTGAAATTGATCTCAGGAAGTCCTTTCACCAATCCTTTTCTGGATAATTTGTTGATTGTTTTGAAGTTGAGATGGCTTAATTTGTTGTGCCATTCCCAACTCAAATTTGAATCTGCCTTTGTCACCAAGCAGATCCCTCCTTTTGCTGAGCTCCAATCAACAATGTACATGTCCTTCTTCCTTCTACCAGTGAGCACAATTTTGTCATTTTTGACATCTCTAATCAAGCAGATGTCTTTAGAGAATGTAACATTATAGCCATTGTCACAGAGCTGGCTTGTGCTTATGAGATTGAACTTTAATCCTTTAACATAAGATATGTTTTGGATTGTAAGTCCATTGATGAATAGGTCTCCAACTCCTTTGGTTTCTCCTTGTTTTTCCACATTCCCAAAAGTAACTTTGGGTCCTTCTCTATCCATATAGTTTGACAGGAGCCGCCTGCTGCCTGTCATGTGCCTGGAGCAGCCTGAATCTATGTACCATGTTTGTGAGTCGGCTGCTCCAGCACCTTCCTGTATTCATCATTGTTGAGCAGTAGTAGCCCACATTGAAGTGGGCAACTTCCTATGAACAATTTTGGGCATCCATACCCATTTAGAACCATTTTCCCTTAAGCAGTGTGATCTACAGCCTTTTGAGGTGGCTGTGTATGAGTTTATCATCTCTCTCCTGTATGTAGGATAAGAGTGATTTCTTCTGGGTTGATTTAGCTTCTTCTTAGGTGGGTAGTTGGTCTTATTGGTGATTTGCCAACTGGTTCTCTGGTTTTCTTGTTTGATAGGAAGTTTCTGTTTGTACAGGGATTTTGATTTTGGTTTGGGAGCAGACATGTTTGTGGGAACTGTTTGGATGTGGGAGTGTTGGTGGCTAAGAGACTTTGTGTCTTCCTTGAAAGTATGTTTTGTGGTGGAAGTGTATTTGGGAGAGTTTTTCATTGAGTAGGAACATGATGTGTAACCTGTGTCCTTTTCAGTGTGTTGAACTTCCTTAGAGAGTGGGGGAGTGAGGGAGCTTAGCTTTTCTTTCAAACTGATGTTTTCATATTCAAGAAAATCTATCTTTTTGATTGCTTCACCCAATTGTGCATGAGCTACTAAAAGATTTTCTTGAAGTCTGTAGTTTTCATTCATTAAGCTAAGGTGCTCTTTTTGGAAGTTTTCAAATTGATGGAGTAATGTCTCCATATCAACACTGGAAGAGTTGGAATCATATGAATCGTTTGAAGAACAGGATACTACCTCATCATTGTCACCTTCATAAGATCTGGCCATACCATAGTTGTGAGAGGAACTATTTTCTGGGAACATTCCAAAGAAGCAAGTAATAGCCTCCTCCTGCCTCTCTGATGAGCAGCTTTCATCATTTGAGCTGCTTTGTTCATCTTCTGATTGACTCTCCGTGAGTTCATCCCATACATCCTTTGTTTTCCAGTCATTGGATTTGTTGCTGTTGATCAACAGATTCTTTGCTTGTTGTTTATCCATCATTTAGAAAGTTTTGGGATAAAAGTGGATTTGGATCTTTAGTTCAAAAGTAGTCAGAAACTGACTCTAGGAACACACCGCTCTGATACCACTTGATGGTCCCGGATAGGGTAAAAGTCTAGAGGGGGGTGAATAGACTTTTAAATCTTTGTAAACTTTATGAAGTTTTCCCTCTAGAAAAGTTGATCTATAATCTTTTGAGAGATTAATAGATGCACAGCGGAAGTCTTTACCCTTTATGTAATAAGAGTTTGACGACTTTCTAATTTGGGGAAGATTGGACTTAGATAGCAAGCAGTTGGCTTGGCAGTTGTCTGGTGGGCAGATCACTGCTGAGGCAACTGCTGGGTTGGCAGTTGGCTGGAGGGCAGGAGACTGCTGAGGCAACTGCTGAGAAACAGGATGACACTTGGATGACTTTTTGTTCTGGCTTGTTATGGAGTTTGGAAAGACACGTATGGATGGGCAGTGGGCTCATCAGGAGGGTGAAGACCAGGGTACTGCTGAGCCACCTTCTGAGTTTAAGACAACTTCTAGTGGAAAACACTCTCAAGGAGAGTGAGTTATTAAGCAGTAGGCTAAGCAGTAGAGTCGATGAAGACTACTGCTTAGGATGCTGCTGGCAAACTACAAACCTTTAGGGAGATGTGTTTGGTGTGTGCTCTGAATGTATGAAAGTAAATCAACACACCATGTATCCTGGTTCAGAGGTGGTGTAATCCTCCTACATCCAGTCCCATTCTATTTCAAATGGATTTCCACTAAAGTATTCAGCCCAATACAATTAGTGCCAATCTAGCCTTGACAACTCTGGCCTAGATTGAAGGTTTTTCACGATGAGTATAACACCACTCAAAGTTACTCAGTCCTTAGACTTTTCTCTAATGATCCAGTGGGGATCAAAAGGTACTCTATCTATCTAACCACACTTTAGGATCCGAACAACTGTTCTCCTAAGTGTTTACAACCACTTGTAAAATACAAGGAATTTTTGGTCTACCAACTAAAATCTAAGCTCTAAAAATATGACAATTATGATCTAGTCTAAGAGCTTAGTGAAGCATGAGTCAAAGCAGAGTATTCTAGCACTTTCCTTTTTGCTGGATATTCGTAGTGTAATAATAGAATCTCTTGCTTTGAACTTAATGACTTGAACATTTAACTCATGCTTCGGCCTTTATTTATAGGCATCTCTGGTTGATTAATATCATCCGTTGGTTGAGATGATTTAATCATGAACGTTGAATCTTGATCGCAGAAGATAAACAACTTGTTGTTTATTTTCTTCTTCAGAGCTGATGGGTTCTTTTTGTCTTGTTTGCCTAGCCACTGTAGCTTTTTCATTTCAAGTTGATTGTGCATCCCATACTGTACGTCTTGGCTCTCCATGCCGGGATTTTTGATTGGCTCCGGATAATCACGAGACAAACACTCGAACAGTTAATTTTTGTGTCTAATAAAATTTATACTGGTAGGATTTAAATATCCTATTAAGGTAAATAAATTTACCTTATTGCATTTTTTTTTTAATTTCCAGTATTAATTTTATTAGTCTTAAAAATTATACATCTATTTGTTCTCAATTAGACACATGTATATTTCATACCAATGTGCCTTTCGTTTTTGTGACAAAATTAAAATGTTTGTGATAAAGTAAATATATACCGGTAGGATTTAAATATCCTTTTTTTTTAAGGTAAAAATTACCTTATTGCATTTTTATTTTTCCGGTATAATTTACTTGATACAAACATTTTTCTTTTGACTTCTGGTCACACTTGGTTGTGTATGGCCCATCAAGTATTTCGAACATAAACTAATTTTTTTTTTAACTGGTAGGATAACAAATCCTATTAAGGTAAAAATTATTACCTTATTGCATTTTGTATTCCAGTTAAATAAATAGTGTAGTTGTTCGAAATATTTTTGTGTCATTTGATGTAACAAATAAATTTAACTGGTAGAATCTATAAGAGATCCTTTTAAGGTAATAAAGTATTACCTTATTGCATTTTATGTTTTCCAGTTATATTTATTTGTTAATTTTTAATTTGAGCAGGACACTTTCAGATAATTAGTACAGCCAACTGCCAGTATACATAATAATTGAATGCTACAAAAGATGGGAGATATCAAAACAAAGGCATCATCAAAATCTATCAGAATCTAGGGTCTAACATAGGTGAAGTGAGCTACAAAAAAAGGTGAAGTGAGCTGCAAAAAAAAGGTGAAGTAAGCTGCAAAAACAAGGTGAAGTGAGCTTTAAAAAAAGGTGAAGTGAGCTGCAAAAAAGGATGAGGTGAGCTGCATATAAAACTCCTTATAAGAGAAACATTGCATATATAATTATTATTACCTTAAACCAATAGGATGTGTTAAATTTCAGTTTGGAAGAAGTTTCTTCATCTCTTTAGATTCAACCTCCACAACCGAACAATTCAGATTCTAAAATTGGGTCTCCACATACTAAAGGCATGATCATTTTCACTGGAAAATAAACATCGTGTATCAAGGGAAGAAACTTTGACACACCTAAATTCGTAAGGAACCAATTAAACTCGCCAAAATAATACTATCGTACTAATTATTATTTTTTGGATAGTATATACTGTGGATCTTAAAAAACTTACCCCAAATGCATAATTAAGTAGTTATCTTAACCTTTTGGCTTAAGATAAAAACTGTATATGCCACATGCTGCTATATGTTCGAATATACTGGTTTTTCTTCTCAAATTCTGCCCTATTTTAATGTTGATGAACATTTCATTTTAAGCAACTCACAGGTGTTTGGTGGTCTGAAAAATAAATCTTCAGAATAAAAAAATGTAAAAATTTATATTGCCTAATGTGACATACTGACATAGATTCGGTCTCAAAATAAAGCTTCCAGAATCAACTACTCTCACATATATAGTCAAACACAAATATGATTAATTAATCAATGGTTCACACTGTTACGAAATTTCACACTAATCCAAAAAAGTAAAATCTTAAAATTAATACTCCGTAATAATCAACAATGATCAATAATCAATTAGATTAACAATAAAATAAATTGGGAACACCATTATGAAAGCCTGATGAACAATAATGGGTTAATGAGTAATCAAACGGGAAAGAATACCATATTGAACGGATGAAAGAATGAAACTGGGAAACCGCTGCAACTACTGGATGATTGAGTTGAAATACTAAGAACTGGAACAGAAGAGAGGCGAGACCGTGAGAGTGAAGAGAAGAGAGCTGCGCCGGCCGCCGTGAAACCGCGAGAGTGAAGAGAACAGAGCTGCGCCGGCCGCCGTGAAACCGCGAGAGTGAAGAGAAGAGACTTGCGCCGCCCGCCCTGAGACCGCGAGAGTGAAGAGAAAAAAGATTCTTTATTTCGAGTGCAGATGTAGACTCTTCGCCGGCTTGGTAGCTTCCCAAATCGCTGCGTTTCTCTCCGATGATTTGTCCTTCGAATTAGAAAGAAGCAATTTGAAGGCAGCGGAAAGGGTTTTCTTCCATGGCAAATGAAAGGTTATGTGCGGCTCTAGGGTTAAGTTACTTATTTTTCGGTAAAAGGCGAAAACAAAAAATGAAAAATATACACCGTAAGTTGGGCGGCAATTTTTTTAGATTGGCGCTACTCGCCAAATTTTAGCGACGGGAAGTTAAAAAGTTTTGCGAAAGGACATTAAAATGGTCCCAGAAAAGTAATCATCTGCGACCGTATAAAATTTGGTCCTTATTAGTGTACATGTTGCGACTGTATTTGGTGTCTTTCGCAAATTGTTGGTCGCAAAAGGACAGTTTTCTTGTAGTGTTTGGTATGGACAAACTAGACTTGATGAGGAACATACTAAAAAACTTTCATCAAAAAATTCCACCGGGAAGTACCCCAAATGGCCATGTTTGGACACTGTTCGGACCAAGGGCTGCTGGACATGATCATTTCTACACACACACACACACACAGACACACACACACACATAGGGGAAAGATCAAGTACAAACTTTGCTTATTGTGCAAATGTTTGTACGATGCACCTTGACGTTATTTGTATTGCATATTGAGGTTCAAAGTGTTGCATATTATATAGTCATAAAATAGCAGTTGCACATTAACGTTCAACGAGTTGTAGCCTAGAAAAGTTAGGTTTTATTACAAAAATGGCATCTTGCCTTTATATCCTTTAGATCAACTAATCGGATGTAACACCCCGGCCCTGCAGGACCCGAGGTAGTTACTCCAGACCTCTAATACTGTCCTCACAAACCGCAACTAGCCTTTTACGCGCACTTTGTCCTCACTCGTGCGCGCCCTGAGAAACTTCCCAGGGGGTCACCCATCCCAAGACTACTCCCGTGCAAGCAAGCTTAACTTTGGAGTTCTTAGCGGATGAGCTCCCTTAAAAGGAGATGCATCTTGTTGGTATGAGTAGTACTATTAATCCATTTATATTAAATCTCAAGTGTTACAATCACCCCCACTTAGGATCGCAACATCCTCGTTGCGCCCTTAAACCAATCTCAATCAAACCCCAGAATCTTTTCCCCTGCTAGGTGTCTGCTCGATATCCAACGGATCAGCACACTGTCGCAGGGTTGCTCTGATACCATTTGTAACACCCCAACCCCGTAGGACCCGAGGTAGTTACGTCGGACCTCTAGTACTGTCCTCACAAACCGCCACAAGCCTTTTCTGCGCACTTTGTCCTCACTCGTGCGCGCCCTGAGAAACTTCCCAGGGGGTCACCCATCCCAAAACTACTCCCGTGCAAGCACGCTTAACTTTGGAGTTCTTGGGTGATGAGCTCCCTTAAAAGGAGATGCACCTCTGTTGGTATGAGTAGTACTATTAATCCATTTATATCAAATCTCAAGTGTTACAATCACCCCCACTTAGGATCGCAACGTCCTCGTTGCGCCCTTAAACCAATCTCAATCAAACCCCAAGTTGGTATCAGAGCTAATGGTTTTTTCGGGGCATTTTCCAAAATATTTTTCCAAAAGTCTTTAAACAAAATTTTAAAAGTTTTCTCATGTTTAATAAATTTTATTGAGTGATACCAACAAGTTGGTATCAGAGCCCTTGGTTTTCGAAAAAGGTTTTCAAACATTCTTTTTGAGATTTTTTTTTAAAAAGTTTTCAAAGGGATATTTTATAAAAGGTTTCCACAAAAAAAATAATAATAAGACTAAAATGAAAATATTAGGACCGCAGTGAGATTGTGAGATTTTGATTTTTGGTTTTGGTTGAGTATGTGATTCTTTTGAATTATGGGAGATATTTTTGCATATATCCTTATTACTTACTTATGTAAGGATGACTTTGGACTTATAGAGGAATTATACTTTATGTGTTTTATTGATTAAGTGAAGTTATTAGTTAAGGTAGTATAATTACAAATAGTACTCGATAGATTTCTTATTCGTATCCTAAACACTTTCCAAGAAGACAATAACGCATACGAGGGACAACATAAAAGACAATGACGTCGTATTGAAGAACATGGAACTGGTGGGTCTGGGTCAAACTCAACCTACCCAGACTATCGGGAATGTGCTACGACAAAATCAACACCAACGTTGTCTCAACAATCACACTGAAGCAGTAAAACTCGTAGCGAGGCGTAATCTCTCGTGTATAGACCAATAAGATTCTTTCATCCTTGAAGATTGGATTCACACTCTTCATAAACTCTTCGATGCTATAAGTTGTTTCGCACATGGATCTGTAAATTGATAGAGCTTCACACCATCTACGTCAAGGGAGAATAACTTGTGGGTCATGATTGAACCAACGTCGTATCAACAAACTGACTATCATGGGAGACGGTTAAGGAGGCTATCCAAGAAAGATTCTACCTAGAGCACGTGCAAGCTACAAAGAGAAATTCTTACACATGAAGAGAGTAAGTATAATCATCCAAGAGTACTACGCCAAATCCTTGAAGCTCGCACGAATGACACTCGCGCTATGTCTGCCAAAGTTAATAAATCTAGGAAGTTCATAAGCGGTTTGAATTTTGAGACTCAAGCCTACTTGCGTTTTGAGATACCAAACTCTACACGAGGCATACGCCAAAGTTGAACACAACGTTCGAGTACGACGACCCTAGAAGGAAACACCCAAGAAGCTAAGTCAAAGAGGGTGCCGAAGAAAAGACCAACCGAGGAGCCAAACAGCACAAGCTAAAGATGAACCACTCCGCTAAAGACGCCATTTCTATTGCATAATCTTCTTTGAGTAAGTTAAGTGCTTCGGGGACGAAGCACCCTTTTAAGGGGGGTCGAATGTGACACTCCAAAAAAAACATAGTTATTTAAATAACTTAAAATTTTAACATATGATAAAAGTGACATTTTAACAAATTTTAATTCAAAGGTATGGGTTAATATATGTGCACAATATACATTCTATACCACTAATAATCCTAACGAATATGTAAAAGTTGACTTTCCAACTTGAGATTAGCGATACACGTAGACTTACATATAGGGAATGATCACCATGGTATTATGGATCGTACGGCTACTGGAATCTTCTGGAATAAGCGTTAGCTTAAACGCAAGAAACCCTAATCCTTCATACGGGAATAAATATGTGCCATTGCCTCAATTCAAAAGCTAACGCAACCACACTATAGGAAACAGAGCAAGCAATTGCGGAACAGAGAGAAGAAAACAAAGTGAAAGAGAAGGAAGAAAGAACGCTGAGGAGACGCCGGAATGGATCGATCGCACTGCCCTGCACCAAAACAAAGGAACTGGCCCCGGCCCGGAGATGAACAACACGAGTAGCTAGCCTGCAGTGCCCGTCGCCAGAAAAATAGAGATATCGTCTTCGCCGGAGTGATACGAAACTCGCCGGTGGTGCTGATACGAAACCAAGCTGCTGCCATCAAACAATACTGTCGATTGACACCAACCGATGCTTGGGAGTTCACCACTTCTTTAGTTCTTTCCATCGGAAGAGAATATCGCCTAAAGGGGGTTTAGCAGACCGCCGGAGAAGATGGTGTCACCAAAGAGAAGAGCCGCCAGTGCTGGACTGCTTCGCCGCCGGAGGTCAGTCGTTGCTGCCGGGCCAACCTGCTGTTGCACGAACCGAAGACACCCAACTGTTGCGACCGGACTTCGCCAGCTTCATCGCGCAGAAGAAGAGTACGTAGTGCTGTCCACTGCTACGCTGATGTTTTGATTGTTTGGACTGGTATTTGTATATTTTGACTACATCAAATTAAATGGATAAAATCACAAGATTGAATAAAACTAAAGAACTGGATTATTGGACCAAAAAGAAATTATATTAATAAAGTGGAATAATTATTAATTCTGGAATTTTAATTTTAATATTCTTAGAAAGTGAATTTGGAGAAGATCGAGATAGAAGCTTTGGTTAGGAGTTATCGTGATTTGAGGTAAGTTTCATTGCAACCAAAATTATACCTTTTACCTCGTAATTATTTTGAATGTTTTAATAATTTATTTATGTGTATTAAATTTGAGTAAATGTTATTCTGTATGAAGTTTGTACTTGATATATTGGTTTGTTATTATTGGATTTTGTTACAAGTTATTGTATATGATTTTTGGGAGATTTCTACTAGTGAATATTAATTGGATTTTAAGAAATTACATGGGAATTTTAGCGTATTTTTGAAAGATACAAACTATTGATTGGATTTTGAGAAAACAAAGAAAAGTTAATACTTTGACACTCATGTCTATAAGACATAAATATTGAATTTTTGGAAAGACGAGATAAAAGACTGTTTTCATAATTGGGGCACCGCGGGAGAAATCCGTAGGTGTCGGGCCACCTTCATGTCCGTTAATGGTGAGGGAGGGTTAGGACTACTACCACTTGAATTGAGAGCCTTGAGACAAATTAAATAAATTTTTGGAGGGTTCGGTAACCACCCCGAACAACGGGGCATTAGATCCCCTTTTTAGTGGAGTAGTGGTGGTAGTACCTATTTTCTTAAGGGTCTTTGAACCTAGAACTTAGGGAGTATATCCCATTTGGAGTAGGGAGACGTTGACGTCAGAACTACTTAGACTTCATACTACTCGGAGGGCTTGGAATTCCTTTAGGGGGTGTGCACACTTAAGGTAGAAGTCTAGATTCTAATAGAGGAGATGAGGTACCGAGAGCAGATCGGAGTGACCGTACAAAACAACGGATCACTGGGCGCAAGAATCGAAATAACGCTTGAGCACCGCCCTTCTAAATGAACTAGGAGAATTAGCTATAAAGCTATTTTGAGGTAAATCAAATGTTTTTGTATTTTACTCTTAAAGAGTTGGTTAAAGAGTTGGTTAAATGCTTTGGAGAAATTATTCCTTTTAATACTTATAAGAGTTATTACCGAAATCTTACTATTTGGAGAATGATACTTATTTTTCAAAAAGTACAAACGCTTTTGGATGTGATTGGATTGTATTTGAGGTTAATTGAATCCTTTTATTAATTGTGAATTTCTAAAGTACAAATATTGTGATATTGGTTTGGAAAATATATTTGTGGATATTGATTTTGTGTTTTGTAAGGATTGTGATAAAGTGCTTATGAGTTTTGAGATGGATATTTGGAGTTTGTATATGATATATGATTTGGAATATTTATGAGGATTTTTATTACATATCTAATGTTGGAATTATTATGATTTGGAATATTGTTATTTTACATATGAATTATGTTATGAGAATTTACTATAAATATTGTTTTACTTATGATTGGTACGAATGTTTTGAAAAGATTTTCCTCCCAAATGTTTTGCAAAAAAATTATATATATGTATCAAACGTGATTATTTTACGGGGTTGTGTGGGACTTACTTAGCATTTCCGGCTAATTTTTGTTTCTTTGTTTTTCTTTCTTTTCCTGTACTTTATTTGTGCAGGAGATAAAGCTTGAGTATCTATTTGATGATGATGTTGATTCGAGAGCTTCCGCTAGAGAAAATGTAATTAGTAGATAACATTGTAGTTTAATTTAATTTTTAAGACGCTTATTGAGTTTAATTGTTTCTGTGGTGATTAGCCTGTGCACTCGGTTAGGTTAGAGCTGAGTGTGGCGGTAACGCCCCTATTTTCCTTTTGATTTTCCGCTGCATAACTCTGATGTTTTAAAAGAAAATTGATATTTCTTTTGGATAAAGTATTATTTTTGGGCGGGAAATTTGGGGGTGTATGTTACATCGGATGACCAAGATAAGTTTGTACTTTGTAAATTAAGCATGGTTTGTATTTGATCTCTATTCTATACACACACACACACACACACACACATATATATATATATATATATGTGTGTGTGTGTGTGTGTGTGTGTGTGTGTGTGTGTGTAGATTAAGGATCAATCATGTACAAACTGATCCTAATTTACAAAGTGCAAACTAATCCCGACCATCCATATGAATGTGATGAATGGTGTGGATGAGAAAACTCCCCACTAATATGGTTGGGGTTAAAAAATGTATGTATTGGATAGGAGTAAAAAAACTCCCCCTATTACTACGGCTGATTTTTAGGGATGTAAACAAATCTTAACCTTGATTTTATAAAATTAGACGAATGAGATGATTTTGCATTTAATTTTGTATGGGAAGCATACTTTGTATCTGATTTTAACCATATATATATATATATATATATATATATATATATATATATATATATATATAGGGAGCGGTTCCAATGAGAACCATGCTTAATGTGAGAACCATGCACTTTTACCACAACTTGATGCACGATGAAGCTTATTTATTACACTTTTTAAACTTTGGTAAAAACATGCCAACATCAAATAAATGTGGTGGCTGATTCGTGAATATTTTAACAACACCAAAATGTGCAAGACATAAACGATATAGTGCATCAAATATATATATAGTAGTCTTCATGTCAGGCCGGCCTGACGGGATGCTCCGTCCGTCCGAGGGCATTTAGGGTACGTCCCGGTGGAATTTTTTGATGAAAATTTTGAGCATGTTCTTCATGAAGTCTGATCTAGTTTATCCATACCAAATTTCAGCTAAAAATTCAATCGGGAAGACATTCAAATAATTTCTTGAAGTTAATTGGGCAGTTCATACATATAAACTGCCCAGTTAACTTCAAGAAATTATTTGAGTGTGTTCCCGATTGAATTTTTAGCTGAAATTTGGTCTGGATAAACTAGACTTCATGAAGAACATGCAAAAAAAAGTTCATCAAAAAATTCCACCGATAAGTGCCCCAAATGCCCTCGGCCGGACGGCGGTTCCCGTCAGGCCGACTGGACATGAAAAGTCCTATATATATATATGTATGTATGTATGTATGTATGTATGTATGTATGTATATCACACACTAGAAATTGGATAATGTAATTTTTTCAATGAAAAGCATAAGAGGATCGGGGAAGCAACATACTATCCGTTCTTTAATTCTTGCAACAGTTTGACTTTCACGTTTGCCAATGCACAACTTTGACTATAATTATATTTAATTATGTATTAGTAACCATTATAAAAAGTTGATATTTTGGAAATTCACATTGATAGGAATTTAATAACATTTTATACGTAATTATTTGATTATGGATAGTAGTACATAATTGTAGTCAAAATAAGGTCTGTGAATAGTGCAAAAATCACAATGTTGCAGGAATTAAAGAACGTTGAAGTAGTATAGAACACATATAAGTGGCCTGGCAATGACATTCAATTTGAAGCATTATAAATCAATATATTCCCATTGCAACGTACTGGCTAGCTTAGCTAGCTGTTAAGCAAAATTGAAGGAATTGTGTATTTGTCATACGTACTGTAAGACCATGCAACTAATCAAAGAAAAAGAAGAAATTGATCGAAAATGATACAGTACTAAATAATAACAATAATGAAAAAAGGGCCGGGCCGGGCCGGGAATTGATCAATTGAACGAAGTCATTGATGCGGGCGGGATTAAAAATTAGAAAAGAATAAAGTATGAATAACATTAGATGATATGGGGGAAATTAAAAGTAGGTGTATGTAGGTGGGTGGCTAATCGATCGATCGATGAGATCAGGGCTCGGGCTTAAAGAAGATAGAAGAAGGAAGCATATCTTGAAGCAAGCCATAGTCAGAAGGCTGGAGGTGGAAGTGATGAGGAGTAGTTAGATGTTGTTGTTGGTGGTAATTAAGGAGGGAGGAGGCATTAGGATTGGGATTAGCGGATAAGAATGCCGCCGCCGCCGCATTATTATTATTATTATTACTAGCTGCGGCGGCAGTCCCGAAGTAAGGGTTATTTGGCGCGGCGGCGGCATGATGGTGGAGGCTGCTGCGGAAGTAGTGATTGCTGCTGCTGCCGTAGTGTTGAAGCATGAGGTCATGATGTGGGAAGGCGGTGGGCGTGGCCTGAGTTAGCATCGACGGGGTGAGCATCCCGGCGGCGAAGCTTCCCCGGAGGTTGGTGGGGATGTGGTGGTTGTGCTGCCCTTCGTACGTCGTCACCACAACGCTGGGGTCTTGGTACGATCTCTCCACTCGTTTCTTCACCGGGCATTTTTGACTCGTGCACCTGTAATAGCTTCTGCGCGTGCACACACACATACGTATTTTTAAATGACCACATTATTTATCCATCAATACATAGATAGTTCATGAATTCAAGTAATTCCTAGGGACGGATCGGACGTACCTTGGATAAGGGCTATTCTTGACGGCCTTCTGCCCATATTTTCTCCATCTATATCCATCTTCCAGATGATCAACTTCACTCTTCGTCATGAAAGCGATTCGCGGCTGTCGTTGCTTCTTCTCCCCCTTCTTCTTTCCCTTATTACTCCTATTCCTGAAAGTATATATCAACATGCATATATGTATCAATATGTGCATATTTGGGATAACCAACCATCAATTAACGTACAATCCCAACCATCTGATCTGTGCCTCATTGAAAAACTATTTGGGATCATATTTTCCTTATATTTTTGGGTTGCAAATGAAATATGCGGTTGATCATGTTTTTCTACAACTCAATTCCTCATATCCGACCTGCCGACCCATAAGCAGCTTTCATTTTTCTGATTAGGGGGGAAATTACATTGTTCAAAATAACATTGAAACATGGACAACGTTTTAAAATAGAATTCAATGTGTTCTTCTCTCAAAACAAGACTTATTTAATTCATACTCCCTCCGATTCAAAAACAAGTTCCACTTTACTATTCATTGGTCAACTTAAGTCACTCCTAATCTTTTATTATATATATCAAATTTTTATTAAATTGAAATTTTCTTGATCAGATTTTGTAGCGGTTTTAATGTAGTTTCTTAATATGTAAATTTTATTTACTAAAAATAATCCAAGTGTAAATAGGGATCGAGTTGTTTTATCGTCAGTCAAGCATCGTATTAGAATGTCCTTTATGAACTTGTTTTTGAGTATTATTAATGAACGGGTCTTATATTGAAAATCATGCTATCTTTTACTCCTATTAGATGGATTTTCTCTTTTCCATTCACAATGTTTAATGAATAAGTCAAAAGGTTGTGAATATGAAAAGGGAAAATTCCTAGAATTGGGATAAAAACAATTTAAAATAGGATACTTTTCAAGCGTGACAATAATTATCGTAGGAAACTAATTAACCATAGTGCTCATATCTGATCGACTTGATGGGAATCCCGTGAGTGCAATTCTATTTTTGGCCAAAAGTGAATATTTTGATGTGATTTTAATTTTTATTATTCATTTGAATCAACAATAACTAGTTTCTGGGTTAAAAAAAACAATAACTAGTTTCGACTGTTAGATTAGATCCTAATTAATTTTGTTCAAAAGTTTACACTTCAACTTCACATTTTCTTTTGTAACACTTATCTTATGAATAAAACTAACTTATCATAAAAAAAAGTAAATAAGCATTGAAAATTTTGATAATCCAACGATTGAAACAAAAATAGAGTTGACTTATTTTCGAGTCAGAGTGTCAGACTAAAGATGTCACTCTATATAGGAGCAGTGGCGGAGCCTTCTTGTTGAAAATAGTTCACATAAACACCCATTGCTAAAAAAAGATTGTGGCTAGCTAGGTATATATGTGCAAATTTTGTTATATTTAATTTTCTAGTTATAAAAAAGCACTATTGAACAGTGTGTGTATATATGATGGTAGAGGAGATGGAATAGTACGTACTCTTTCTTATTATCATCAGCGTCATCTCCATCATCTGAAGCACTGCCCCTGCAAACTTGGTTATGATGAATATTGCTATTATTATCATCTGTGATGATGTTATTGGGCGGAAGCTTGGTGGAATGGTCATCGGCGGCACCGGCTTCGGTGGAGGAGGAAGAGATGGAAGTGTTCGGGGTGAGCGGGGGGGTTATTTGACTTTGAGTGTTGCTCGTCGGGGCTCCCGCAATGCCGCCGTCCATGAGGAAGCTGGACGCCGCGGGCGCGGTGGCCTGCTTATGGTGATCCTCTTGGAGCGAGCAGAAGAAGGCGTCGGCGGGATCGGCGGCGTTGAAAGTGTCGTCGTCGTCAGTGAAGGTGGCCGCGGTCGTCAAGTATGAGGAGTGATCGAGAAAGTGGCCGGGGGAGCTGTGTGCAGCCGCCGGCGGGGATGAGTAAAGAAAGCCGAGGGGGCGCTGATCATCTTGGAATGGGTGGTGGTAGAACAAATCTCTAAGCTCTTCAGACATAGGTCGTTATAAATTTATCAACTCACTCAAAGTAGTATCTAAAATTGAAGATGATGGATGGAGAAGCAAAGCAAGTTTAGCTTAGCTTAACTAAAAATAATTATACTTTTTTTTTGAAGGAGTGATTCCACTTAAAAAGTAATAGATGGATGGACAGAGGAGAGTGGCCGGGTTTTATGCGAGGGAGCGAGCTGGTCTATTTCACTATTCCATTCATTGATTTTTTTGTTTGTTTTCATAAATGTTGATTAGAGGTTTGAATTGCGATACTGTCCCCACATTTTCCTAAATCACTCATGGGCCCCATCCTCTTAGCTCGGATTTACTCCCTCTTTCATTTCACTAGTATAGTATTTGATCCAGTTGGATGGGATCGAATCGGATCTGTCCGCCTGCCTTCAAACCTCATTTTCTGTCCCCAACGTACACTTACTTCATCTTGTCTGATATCCTCTCCGTTCTTACTTTAGTTACTTCAAGTGTAATATTCTACTTCTCATAGTTAGCAATGCATAATTTTCACCATTCACATATATAGCTTTCTATTAGTTAAAAATTTAAAATAAAATAGATCTTTTGCATTAATAAATAAAGCGTAATCAACATAAAATATGTGAATAGTGCACAACTCAACATGTTATACTTTTTAAGAACGGATGAAGCATTGATATACATAGATAAATTAAGGATCAAATACAAAGTGTTCCTAATTTACACAATACAAAGTAATCTCCTTCCACCATTTTAAAAATCTAATTGTTGAAATATGCACGATGACATTTTGGTAACAAAACCACACTTTCTCAGATGTAACACTTTGAATGCTAATATGCAATCTTTTTTTCCATCGCAGATAATGTGCAACATATGAACATCAATATGCAATACAAATACCGTAAAAATGTATCATACAAATTGTTGCACAATGAGATCACTTTGCACCAACATATGAAAATCAATGTGCAATACAAATAGCATAAAAACACATCATACAAATTATTGCACAATAAAATCACTTTGTACCAGATCCACCCCTACACACATGGAAAATTGTCTTTTTATTTGAACTCTCTTCTATATATAACAACATGGATATAGTGAATTACTACTACTAAAAATTGCTGCACATGAAAAGGCAAAATAGTTGACGGCCGTAGCTCAATCGGTCGCTAGGAATGCACAAAGAATAAGTTTTGGATTTGAATCTTGACTATTGCGCTACGAAGTTACTACATATTATTATACTCCCTCCGTCTCGTAATTAAGTTCCTACTTTCCTTTTTGGGATGGTCCATGTTAAAGTTCCTACTTCAAACTTTTCCTTATTTGGCAAATGATTTACACCAAAACAATGCCGTCAAACAGTGTTCAAACAATGCACTCTCTTAGACCGAGAAGAAGAAGTTTGTTAACAAAAATAACTAACAAGAACTGATTGATATGAATGAAGTGGAAGCATACTTTTATTCATGAACGTTTACTATCTATAAAAGAGTACATTGGGCCTTATTAACAATGACTGAAACTGGGCTACAACTAATGGGCTGAGTTCTTATTCTTCAATACACCCCCTTGAATCTCAGCATATGAAACAATATTCAATCCCTTTCTTAACTCCAAGAAAGTTTGAATCTTCAATGGTTTAGTCAATATATCTGCTAGCTGCTCATAAGTTCTGCAATGTTTCAGTTTTATCTTCCCTCTATTCACTTGGTTTATAAGGAAATGAAATCGTGTTTCTATATGTTTGCTTCTGGCATGAGCCACAGGATTTTTGGCCAAGCTGATAGCTGAGTTATTATCAATTCTCAACACTGGAATGTTGTTCATTCTGACTTGCATTTTTATCAACAAATTTTGCAACCACATTGCCTCGCATGCTGCATAGGCACCTGCTATATATTCAGCTTCACACGAAGACAATGCCACCACTGGTTGCTTCTTTGAACACCAAGAAATTGGTGCCCTTCCCAACATATATACATACCCGGTGGTGCTTCTTCTATCAACTATGTCTCCAGCCCAATCTGAGTCAGCATATCCATTCAACATTTCCTCATTTGCTTGAACTGAATTAGGTAACAGAATGCCATAGTCTAGTGTTCCCTTAATGTACCTCAGTATCCTTTTTGCTGCAACCATATGAGAGATTTTTGGACTCTCCATAAATCTACTAATCAGTCCAACACTATAGGTAATGTCAGGTCTACTTGAACAAAGGTATCTCAGACACCCAACTATCTGTTTGAACAAGGTAGAATCAACAGAGTTTTCTTCTTCACATTTGTCCAGTCTTAAGTTTGTTTCACATGGAGTAGCAGCCGGATTACAGTCTATCATTTTGAATCTTCTGAGTACTTCTTCAGCATATTTTCTTTGAAGTATCAGGAAGCCTTTCTTGGTTTTTACAAACTCCATACCAAGAAAATAGTACAAGAACCCTATATCAGTCATCTCAAACTCAGTTTTCATCTTATTCTTGAATTCTTCAATGTGTGTTTCATTGCTTCCTGTGATTAGCAGATCATCCACGTACAAACAAATGATGAGTAAATCACCATATATTCTGTAATTTGTTGTATACTCCATGTTCCACACTACACCTTTTGAAGCCCAAATTAATCAGAAAATTGTCTATTCTTTTGTTCCACACTCTTGGAGCCTGTTTAAGCCCATATAATGCCTTTTTCAGTCTGTAAACTTTATCTTCATGCCCTTTCACTTCAAAACCAAGTGGTTGTTCTACATACACCTCTTCTTGTAGGAATCCATTCAAAAAAGCTGACTTTACATCCATTTGATGTACTGTCCAGTCTTTAAGACTTGCTATTGCAATCACAGTTCTTATAGTCTCCATTCTTGCAATAGGAGAGAAGACTTCACCATAGTCTAATCCCTTTTGTTGCAAGAAACCCTTTGCCACAAGTCGTGCCTTAAACTTTGCAACTGACCCATCTGGTTTCTTCTTCAGCTTGTACACCCACTTCACATCAATATGCTTTCTATTCTTAGGAAGATCAGTTAACTCCCAAATGTTATTCTTCTCAATTGCATTCAGTTCTTCTTTCATTGCAGCTAGCCAATTTGAATTTTTCATTGCATCCATATATTCAATTGGTTCTGATTCAGTAAGAAATGCAAAGTGAACCAAATCTCCTTCATCTGTAATAGCAGTATCAGGAAAAACTTCATATTCTGCCAATCTGCTTGAGATTCTTCTCTCTCTTGTTGGTCTTACTCTTCCAACATCTCCAGAATTTACTTCAACATTGTTTGTGTCTTCTAGTTCTGTATCAGATATATGTTGATCTTCTGCTGACTCAGTATCAATAAAGGGCATTTTCTCCCTGCGGGACTGATTACTGTGAGTCCAATCCCAAGTAGCTGATTCATCAATTATCACATCTCTGCTCACAATGCACTTTTGCTCAGTTGGATCATATAGTTTATAAGCACCGGTAGGATCATACCCAACTAAAATCAACTTTTGACTTTTGTCACTCAATTTCTTTCTCTTTGCATCAGGAATGTGCATATAGCATACTGATCCAAAGATCCTTAAGTGATTCACAGAGGGTTTTACACCAGACCATACCTTCTCAGAGGTAAGATTATTCAATCTTTTAGTAGGACACAGGTTCAGAATATATGCAGCTGTGTAGACTGCAGCACCCCAAAACTTGTGTGGTAAGTTTTTGGTTCTCAACATACTCCTAGCCATGTTAAGAACAGTCCTGTTCCTTCTTTCTGATGCACCATTATGCTGAGGTGTGTATGGAGATATTACTTCATGTAAAACTCCCTCATGGTTGCAAAAATCCTTAAATTCTCCATTAACATACTCTCCTCCTCCATCAGTTCTAAACACTTTCAGCATTTTACCACTTTGTTTTTCCACCAGTCTCTTCCACTTTGTAAAAATTTAGAACACTTCAGATTTACACTTTATCAAGTATATCCACATTTTCCTACTGTAGTCATCAATAAAAGACACAAAATAGAGGTTTCCATTGAGGGAGGGTGTCTCAAATGGGCCACAAACATCTGAGTACACTACTTGGAGTACACTTGAACTCCTGGTGGGAATCCAGGATGCAAATGGTTTCCTTGTTTGCTTTCCAGCTATACAGTGCTCACATATCTTTCCACCACACTGAATTGTTGATAGCCCATGCACCATGTTCATGTTAGCAAGTTTCTGCAGGCTTTTCCAATTCAAGTGTCCAAATCTGTAATGCCATTTCCAGCTTTCTTCGTGCACTCCAGATTTGAAACACATGGTCTCATTTACATTTATTTCCACCTTAAAAATTCTATTGGGTGCCAAAGGGGCTTTCAAGATCAGGACCTCATTCTTATCAAATATCTTCATGCACCCATCTTTCATATTAATGTAATAGTCCTTCTCTAACAACTGACCTATACTCAACAAATTGTACTTCATTTTTGGAACATATAATACATCTGAAATGATAGCCAACTTTCCATTTTTACAGGTCAATTGAATTTTCCCTTTTCCCTCAGATTTTACTGCACTATTGTCTGCAAACCTGACTACAGTTTCTGACTTCTCATCAAACTCAATAAACCAGTCTCTTTTACAGCACATATGATTTGAACATCCAGTATCAAGATACCAAGTGTTTACCTGATTTAACTCAGTCTGTGAGATAGTAGTGGCCATCAACAACACTTCTTCCTCGTCATTA